CAGAGGGTATTATAATTTTGGTCAAAAGTGTGCAACGCAGTGAAGGAGACATCTCCGACCCTATAAAGTATATATATTCTTGATCAGGATCACCTCCTGAGTTGATATAGCCATGTCCGTCTGTCCGTCTGTCCGTCTGTCCGTCTGTCCGTCTGTCCGTCTGTCTGTCCGTCTGTCTGTTTCTACGCGAACTAGTCTCTCAGTTTTAAAGATATCGAATTCAAACTTTGCACACACCCTTCTTTCCTTTGCACGCAGTATATAAGTCGGAACGGCCGGGATCGGCCGGCTATATCCTATAGCTGCCATATAACTGATTGATCGGAAATGCCATAACTTTGGTGTTTGTCAAGTTAGGAAGTTGGGATTTTCTATGGGTTTTATATTTGGCCACTCAATCCGACATACCAAATTTCATAAGGATCGGCCGACTATATCCTATAGCTGCCATATAACTGATTGATCGGAAATGCCATAACTTTGGTGTTTGTCAAGTTAGGAAGTTGGGATTTTCTATGGGTTTTATATTTGGCCACTCAATCCGACCTACCAAATTTCATAAGGATCGGCCGACTATATCCTATAGCTGCCATATAACTGAACGATTGGAAATGCCATAACTTTGGTATTTTTAAAGTTAGGAAGTTGGGATTTTTGATGAGTATTAAGAATGCATCATATGAATAATTTTGGAGAATATAATTTACAGAGTATTCTGCAAGGGTATATCAACTTCGGCTCCGCCCGAAGTTAGCTTTCCTTTCTTGTTTAGGGTTAATTTTGCTATGAGTGCAGTTTCAGTTATATTGAGCTATTGTTAATTAGGGATTTCGACTTTTACCCCCATATTCGTACATGGATTTAGTAGTACAAGTCAATTAAGAGGTCCTTTCCCCGCCTCCCCTGCCCCAGAAGAGATCCCTTCCCCCAACGGTCATTGCACCTCGTCCTCCGGACTCCCCTGGTGCTCAACTTTGTACTGCTTTACACATCCTGCCCTCTTTGGAGCCATCAGTTGACACTTTGCATCTTGTGCAATCACCAAATATTGTCGGAGAATGTCAACGTCGTCGGCGCCGTCGTCAGCATCAACTTTGTATCGAAGTTTGCACACAATCAGTAAAATATTTTGGCCAACCCTTCGGGGGACGACCTCGTTTCGTTCGTCTTTGTCTGCTCCGTGCTCCGTGCTTCCTGACCCCTGCCCCCTTTGCCCCCTTTGCCCCCATTGCCCCCTTGCCCCTTTCACCCGAGCTGAGCTCTCCAGTGTTTTTCTTTTGCCATGCACATTTTCCGTTTTCCTCCTTTTTTAATCTTTGGCTCTGGCTTCTGGTATTCTTTCTTAGCAGCCCATTGCCATTCCATTGCGCTTCCTAGCTCAGGGCGAACTTTTTTGGCGTTTCATCTGCAGCACATCAATTTTTGTTGCTGACGAGCAAAAGTTGCAATGGCCGAGGCAGCCACCACCCACCACCTACCATACACCGCCCAACACCCACTTGCCACCTAATGTTGCCTCACTGTCCCAATGTTATTTCTACTCGGGTGGCAGCTTGTCCGTCCGCTTGTCCGCCTGCTGATTGACGGCAACTGACAAGTTTCTCTTCGACTGCGCATTGACTTTTCTTTTGCAGTCGTTGCATTTTACGAGTATGTGTGCTCCAACTTTTCGCTCCTCCTCTGTCCCGTATAAGCAGAAAGAAAAGCATTTCAGTAAATTTCTAATCCTTAAGTATATATGGCAGGAAGCGTCAGCCGACAGATGTGTGTCTGTCTCTGTCTCTTGGCCTGTCTTGGTCCTGTCCCTCTCTCGCTCGATCCCCACCCCTTCTCCGGATTGCATAACACACACTGAGGGAAAAATTTAATTTATTTTATTGAAATTTTATTTCTAAGAATAATAAAATCGCTTTTTCAGGACAAAGAATCAAGGGTTTGTCTATTTTACTAAGTTCCTAACTACTTGACTAACAATTTTTAAAAGAGTTGAAAAGAAAATGTGTGAAATACTAAAACTTAAAATTTATATCAAAACTCTCCTGGCATTTAATTGCACAGATATGTTATTATAATTTTGTTAGCTACATTACAAGTATATTATGAAACAGTACATTTAAAGCCAATTTCTTAATGTATTTAAAGGTTCTAATTTGTTACCTGTCAGAGAAATTTAATCTGAAGTCAAATTTTTAGGGAACACAAATTCGATTCTGAATGCATAAATACTTTTTCGAACGACAAATATTTTATGATGTCTTCAAAATTTTACGAAATAGGTACTGCCCGCCGTGAACAGAAAGGTACGCAAAGAAAAGTTCTTTTTTATTTTCGTTATACAGTCCGAAAATTGGAAAGCTTTAAATTTTTATTTAGATAAACTGAGAATTGTGCATTAAGTCAAGACCTTAAAGAGTAACTTTAAAAGGTTCTTAATTTTTGCTGTTACTAATTTATTTAAATTTCAAGTTAATTAAAAATTTATTTTTTTACAGTTTTGTTAAGGAATCAGCAAATTAAGATCCAATTTTGTATGCCTGCATTATTTAAATTTTACTTATAATTTTATTTTGTTAATTTTTTTAAATTTTGATTTCATTCTTAGCGATGTCATCCTATTTTTCAATATTATCCATATTTTGTTAGGTAAATGCGTTTTCTGAGAGTGTTTTCATGGTATAACCCGACTGCATCTGGGGTAGAAAGATGCCGGTCATTTCGTCAGTCAGTCTGTCAGTCAGTCAGTAGTGGGTGGATGGTGGCTAGTGGGTGGATTTGGCTCTGACAATGTCGGGAAACGACAACAACAATGAACCCAGTCGAGTCTTTATTGCATTTTGGCGACAAAACTCCTTGGATCTCGTCGTAGCTTTCTGTTCGTCTCCGTTTTTTTTGCCTCCACTGGCTTCCTACAAAAAGGATTTTGCATGTTTCACTGACAACTTCTAAGCAAATTTCTTTGAAATGGACAATGTTTGTTTCTCTAGCTGGACGGGTGGTGTTCGGGCTTATTTGCTGTTTCATGTACAATTTTGGATTACTTTCTTGCCAACTGATGAAGTCGTTGCCTCCTGCTGAAAGGGAATTCCAGAAGAAGCAATTTTCCGGCAAACCCAACCATTTTTTTCAATTCTGCGCCATCTAAATAGCTATTCAGCGGTATTCCCTGCACTTTAGCAGCACTTCATATCTTCATCAATCAATACACAGACATCCAATGAAATATACATAGTTTGGATGAGTGTCTGCAGCTGAAAAGAAATGCGCTGCCATCTTGTCGCTCCTCGGGAGCAGAGTTCAAACCTCAACCTCGTCGCCAGAAACTTTTCAAAGTTGGACGTGAACAAGCGCCCGCCAACTTCATTGCCGTCTATAGCTTCGACTCGGACTCACAACAAATAGCGCATCAGTCAAAACTGTTTTTGCCTGTCATCAGGAGACGTGCCACGTCCAGGCCAAAGGCACTGCAAAGTAAGAAAATTCAGGAAGGCAGTGAGGAAGGGAGGAATCTTCAGGATGACCCCTGCCAAAAGGGTTGCTCAAGGAATTTGGGTATAACCAGACTAGTATACACCCTGAATACCAACACCAAGCAATGACAATTAAAACCATGACTTAAATAAGTATGCAGCAATTGTATTTCAGAATCAAAACGAACGACTATGAGCCGCAAGTCATTTACCTTTTACAATAAAAAATTAATGTTATATCGACTATTTTCTATGATATCAGCGTATTAATTAAAAACAACGAAGTTATGCCAATTTAACCTGAATCTACAATGGCTGGTCGATGTTTTTTACAAAATGCAAAATATAAATATATCCTGAGTTCCAATAAAACTTTACTTCCTGTAAAGTAACCTCCCGTTCCAATGGCAGCAACTTTGAGAAAGATATCCTATTGCAAACGTTTTTTTGTATTTCCTGGCTCACTGATCGAAAGAGTATCTAGAGCAAGAATAGCTCTGCTTCAAGGAACTGCATACGTTGTCCCACTAAATGCCGCATTGATGAGCAACTTGTCCATGAAGTTCGAAAAAGGAAAAAGAAAGCTTCCGTCCCTCCACTGAACTTCTTCTCAGCGTGAATGGTACAGCTCAACATGAAACAAAATGTCGAACAGAGGGAGCGGAAAACTAGAGAAGACAACGCGCCACGTCAGACTAATCCTTGAGCCATCATATTACAGCATCGTCTGGAAGCCAGCAGAACCCAGGCGCAGCAGCATATAAACCGGAGTAAAATCCTGGGAATATTGGACAGGACGAGGAGGGCCCGAACTCTTCCCATTTCTGTCATGGAAGCCATCAATCGTTTTGTTGAAATGTGCAATAAAAGAAAAGTCATGAAAACTTTCTGTGCTGCTCGCAGATTTCTTAAGATGCTCGGCGGGGGTGGGTGGGGCCAGTTGCCTAATGCCTGCGACAACATGGCTGGGGCAAGGATTTTCCCCAGCCGCCCCACTCCACCCCCTGCTTGCCCTCAATTTCGCTTGCATTTGACAGCGTCGTCGGCGACATTTGACGATTGACGAGGACGTCGAAGCCGTTGGCCCCACCCCCTTCCTGCCACCCTGCCTCCTACCCACCTCCCCCCCCCAAAATATGGTTGTTCTTGTTGCCAAGTTCGTCTCTGCGTGGTGGTAATGGCCAAGACGTTGGCCAGGACCAGAGAAGTGCCAGAGCCGCAGTTGCGGCCCAGGAGGAAAGTCGCCCGTATTTGTATTTCGATTTTTATTATCGTTCAGTGGTTCTATTCACAAAAACATTTTAAAATTATAGGAGGAAATGTTTGAAGCAATATATAAACCTCAAAATACGCTAGAGTTTCAGGCTACCAATCGGGATTTTCAATAGTAATTTTAATATTAACGTTATTGCTTTAAATAGAACCTAAATACTTTATTTTTTATTGTTTCCATAACTTTAATTATTTTTACTGTCACCGAAATTTCTCCTGAAGTAATCGACTCCTGATAAGTCTTTGCTTAAAAATTCAGATCAAAAATTGACAATCCCACACTATGTGCTTTGTAAGTACAAATTTACTATAATTTTTTATTTATTATTATTTTTATTTCGACTTTCTAGGAATCAGCCGAGATTTTTGATGGCAACCACACAAAAATGTATCAAAAGTATGGAGTTCGGGAATTTACCAACTAGTTTTAGCGTTACACTGAGCCATCCAAAGCCTCTCGGGGAAAGTCTAATCAAAACCTGCATTCCGCTCCTGACATCCTGATGATGTTATGCCACCCAAAAAGTAAAAAGAAAAGCAGAGAACCCGTCTTGGGTCAAACTGTCGTTCGCACGTTGAATTGCGGTCGGGATTCGGAGTGGGTCTGGCTGGTGGCAGGGTGGGGATGGGTGGTTCTGGGTGGCGATGGGTGGCGATAGGTGGAACTGGGATCGGACCTGGGGGCAGCCAGTGGTCCTGTGTATTGGATTTGCTGCTGGCTTGGGGCTGACTGGCTCGGGGATTGCGTTGGGTTGGCGTCTTAGTGTCAGCCGTGACTGCAACACCCCCTCCCCCTCCCCGCGTCCTACTCACACACTCATTCTTTCTCTTTCGCTTCCGCCCCAACTGCAGGCGACAAGTGCAACCCACCTCCCACCACCCACCTCCCAAGATGTCCTGCCTGCGAGTTCTCCTTGGTTCACGACTCGCTCTATCAATCCGCAGAGCGCATTGAACGACAGCGTCAGGATTTTTGCAATTTGAGAAGTTGCTACGTGACATTTCAATAATTTTTGAAAAGTTTCTTACTTTGCCCTACCTCTTTCATGCCCGGCTTTTTCCTAGGAGGCGACCCCAGAAGTGCACTGAAGATACAGGTCCTTGATTTATATCAAGAATATAGTATAATGCGTAATATAATCCTTAATGTAGGTATAATTGCTAGAAAATATAAATAAAATCCAACCAGTTAGGGGATTTTACAACCGGGTTACCCTCCAATTTACAAAGAAGGCATTCAGTACTTATGTTTACGTTTCTTCAATGAACTGTTTTGAAGCTCTAAGATCATTTTCCTCAGTGTACATTTTCTCTTTTATTTTATATATTTTTATAGTGTATTTTTCTGCCTTGTCCTTGGACACAAAATCGAAGCGAGGACAGGCATGATGTTCCATGTGGTTTGGGTTCACTTTTGAGCGTTGTTGTTGGACGTCGTTGGCGTCGCCGGAACTAGGAATTTTATATTCTGCAATTTTCGTGACAACGTCATTTTGTCCACGACATTTCTGCCTGATGCGTCGCGTCGGTCCTTTTCGTCCTGTTCGCCTTTCGTCCCATCGCAGTTGTCGCCATCGTACTCGTCAGTGGCCAGCTGTACCGACTCGGTCTCCCCCTCAGGCCCCCTTTCATTTTCAGTTTTATCTACCCCCCGCCACCGCCTTATGTAAGAAATTTGTTGTGTGCATTAGGAACTTTGACGCTTCACTGGATAGCTGTCAGTGGGGTTCGGCTTCTGGAGCCTGGAGCCTGGGGTCTAGGGATCGGGGTCTGGGGTTCCTCTCCTTTTGCCCGTTCGTTTTGACGTTTGAATTTTGATGCTCCGACAGTTTATTCGATTGTTTTTCTCGCTTTCGCTCGGCAAAATTACGGAAGTGCAGCAGCAGAAGTCGTCTGCCCCAGCACCTCACCGCCACATCCCATCCTGTCCCATCTGGCACTGCTTATGTAAGAAGGGAAAATTGCTGGCACAAATGGCGCCCAACCCGAAAGCCTCAGTCGGCAGTCCAAAGTCCTCTGATGCGCCATGCTGGCCGGCCATCTTCATTAGAATTTATTTTTATTGTTTTGCGCAACTTTCAACTTTTACAACTTTATCAATATATGAATATAGATGCGCCGCGCAGAGTTGTCTTCCGCAGCAAGGACTTTAATTATGGAAATGCTGCTGACTCGGACAATCAGGATAAGGATGATGGGGATACGTAAGAGGTGTCTTTTGAATTAGAAAACCATGACGAAGAAATAGTTTTAAAGGTGTTTGGGAAACTTAGTTGAGTATTACAGTTGGCAACCGTTTTGAATATTGGGGAAAGAAATTTGAAATTAGATTTAAGGTGTTATTCGTGAGTTCGGTATAGAAAATAAGTAGGTGCAACGGAGATTACTCTGTTTGTATGCTTATTAGGGTTTAATGATCACGACATAGATCTATTACTTTAAGTTCAATAAGCATAAGGAAGTTTAAAAAAATAAAAAAATTACTATGCTTTTAGTACTGTACATTTTATAAATCTTTCTAACAAAATTACTGATTTATATATTTCTGAAGCAAATACATTAAATTCAAACTAGGAAAACAAACTCGTTGCCTAGTTGCGATCTAGCCTGTATGAACGTCGAGATCTCGCGAAATATAAGAGGTAGAGGTATCTAGTGATATGAATACACTAATAAAGACTATTCGATTAGCTATTATAAGTTTTTTGGAAATCTTTTTAATGAAATACTTTATACAATAGCTCCATAATCGTTTGCTTAAAGTTGGTGACCAAAAAATAAAAATATATTCTCCTAATATTCCTACAAAAATATTTATTATTATATGTTAAATGATAATATTTTTAACAGTTTTTTAAACTAAAAATGGAATAAAAACTGACTTTGGTACTCTGAAGCTTATAATCCATAGCTTTATTTTGAATTCGTTTGACATGGGGGTGATTCCAAAATATGTAAACGTTCGAGGTTTTTGTTTATATAAGTCTCAGATTTAATTTTTTTAAATCAAATAATTAGTTTTATGGATTTTTATTTATAAAAGTCTTACGCAGAACTTGATTTTATATAAAAAACAAGAAAGGAAAGCTAACTTCGGGCGGAGCCGAAGTTGATATACCCTTGCAGAATATTCTGTAAATTATATTCTCCAAAATTATTCATATGATGCATTCTTAATACTCATAAAAAATCCCAACTTCCTAACTTTAAAAACACCAAAGTTATGGCATTTCCAATCGTTCAGTTATATGGCAGCTATAAGATATAGTCGGCCGATCCTTATGAAATTTGGTAGGTCAGATTGATTGGCCAAATATAAAACCCATAGAAAATCCCAACTTCCTAACTTTACAAACACCAAAGTTATTGCATTTCCGATCAATCAGTTATATATACACAAATTTATTATTGTTAGTATTGTTCATTAAAGTTATAATCCATACGGTCCCTGTTTTAAATCGTACAATATTGATATAAATATAAAAGGCTTACAAAGCCACAAGTATTATTCACCTTAAAAGTTGTTCTCCGCTTGTTCGCTTTCATGATAGATCATTGACTGGATCTTCTGCCCAGTCGAAATGTTTATTGTTCACCTAAATACTCTCTAAAATATGCGTCTGCATTATGATAAACAATTCGCCCCTACTCGGATAACCGCAATAAATCCAACGCCCACGCAGCTGAGCTCCGTTCAGCCCAGCTCAGCTCCACTGGGTTCAGCTCAACCCTGCTCAGCCCAGAGACCCTGTTCCTGTCTGGGGATCGGGGTCTCGGAGTATCGGGGATACGGGGATATGGGGACTCGGGGAGGAAGCCTCGAACTGGCTTAGCTTGAAGCGCATTTATTATTTGATTATAAACAGCAGCGAGCAGCGGCGAGTGTCGAGCGCGGCCATAAAAATCACCTACTGACAGATTTATTACACAGCCAGTCGGTCGGCGGTTGTGGATGGGGCAACCTCTGGCCACGGCTAAGCCGTACCGAAATGAACCGAACAGCGCCGCCGATGAAGGCGCTTTGACAACAAACAGATACGCCAGCAACAGCAGGAACAACAGCAACATCTGCAGCAGCAACACCGGGCACATCAGCAACATCAGCAGCGGCAACAGCAACAGCAACTACGGCATCCTGGTGCTCTCATCATCGTCATCATCAGCAGCAATGCTGACAGCTACACGGCAACGCCATCAGTGTAATCAACTTGGTGTCGGGCGAGGAAGTGGATGTGGAATCGGAATCGCTGAGCGGTGAGCCCGGTCTCTTTATGGGTGGCATGTGAAGCCCCGCGATTCGCGACTCGCGACTAACTTTGCCATCGCCATCCATCGCCTCCACGCCAGACTCCCTAACTCTTTGCCCTCATTAAGCAGTTGAAATTTCTCAAAAAAAAAACGAGCCAATCAGTTAATGACGAACCCATTACTGATCGAATGATCGAATACCCTAAAAAGGTGTTCCGAAGCTCCAAGCTCTAAAAAATGTAGAATACTTGCCTTTGGCGACATAAAATGTTCATTATTAGTTTGCTTAAAAAAACTAATTTTTCATTTCTTTTGTTAAAAATATCATCCAAAAGGTCAACAAATATATTATCTTAAAATAGTGGTTAAACTTGGTTTGTAGAATTAATTTAAGCCAGTACAATAAAATAATGATATTTATAAAAACACGTTTAATAGTGTTTTGTATTTAATGATATAGAATTATCTATGGGTGTATGTATATCGGAGTGGATCTTTGTGACAGCTGTTAACCCAAGCCAATCCCATGTTGATACTATGTCTTTAAGCAACTGTATAATACTGGCAAAATCCAAATACTTCTGTGACAACCTCCATCACGACCTGTGGACAACTTCAATCCGTGCAGAGCATAAAGACATCCGCCGATTTTCACTCACAATCAGCGTTGACCTCGGTCAACACTTCTCCTCCCGCCTTGTCCAATTCAATACCCATCAATGGCGATGGGTTGCGTTTGTTTAACTGCAGAAAGTTTGTCCACCATCGCCGGGATCCCCGATGGCGATGGTCCGGCCAGTTGACATGGTAATTCTGGGATGGGACGGATGCCGAGGAACTATTGGGAAACGAGGGGCAGAAGGTGGCAGTGCCAATGGCATCCCAAAAGTGTCAAATGTGTTGTGTGATTTATGCAGTCAGTCGCATGATTTGTTTGCAGTCCGTCTACTTTTCGTGTTTATCTGCAGAAAAATATGAGAAAGATAAATTGACGACGTCGCCAGTCAGGAAAGGCAGCAGCAGCTGGAGGATGGGACGTTGGCCAAAATTCGCAATCAGTTTTGGCCAATTTTCACTGGGAAACTTTTACTCCTGTCCACAGCATCGGCTGCTTTCATTCGTCACCTCTGCCTGGATTTCTCCTTTGGTGAATTATTAAAATGTTTCTCTGGCAAATGATTGTGGCAATGATATCTCCTTAAGTCTACATTCGAAATTTTTTTAAAAGGCGCTTGGTTTGTGTTTTCAGTTATAAAAGATTGCACTGAGCTGATTGGAAGAATAAATTATGATAGTCGTTAAATGTAATCATTAAATA